CACACACACACACACAAACACACACACACATACACTATGAGCTATTAGTTAAAGGGCACTAATGATTGGTCATGTTTCTTTCTATTTCTTCTGTTGCTTCACTTGGTTATCTTGCTTTGCTACTTCTGTAAATGGCCACACTTGTGTCTTTACCCAAGCTCAATCAATTATAGTCGAAAAACTGTTATAATCTACAATAGGCCTAAGCCCAGAAAGCAAAATTCTATAGGAATTAGAGAAAAAAACCACGTATTATTCTTTTAATTAATGAATCTACGTTACGTATTCTTTTCTTGTCTTTTTTCAACATTGTCAGAATTTGGATTTCGACAAAATATTTCTAAAGCACTTGCAACATCGATTAAGAAGTTGCGATTAAGATAACATTTTAAAAATTATTTTAAAAGTAAAAATTTGTGGTTTAGTACATTTAATTGCTGTACAGTATAAAAGGCACTAGTCTAAGTCAAACCTCAGAAAGCAGTACCTTCTTCTCTGTGTAGCTCAAAGAAAAGGCAGGCTGCCACCGACGGCTGTTTCTTCTTCACGGCCAAAATTGTTCTTCGCCACCTTATCCCCACATCGAGCGGAGCGTCGGTGCGCGAGACACTGACCTATGACGCGAATTAAGGGGAATAAGCAAGCAGAACAGACGCGCTCCTCGGGGAGTCGTTCGTTATTAGGGTTATTTCCCCTGCGAGGCTGGTGTCGGGTGGAAGGGAAGGAACTGCGTGTGTCACTGGCGTATTTTTTTCTTTTCTTTTCAGTTTTTTCCCCCCCTTTACTCTCCCCCTAAAGTAGATTGAGCCATCTTGCGGTGTTATTGGCTTTTGTCTGGGGGTGAGACGAGTGCTAAATATTGGGGAAGAAAACGTTGAGGGAGTTTCTTTTTTCGCCAAATAGTCTACAGGTCGCGGGCTTCCTCGGTTAGTCTCTATGCGTCAGTGTGTATCCCTTCAAATTCAGATTTAAACAATCAGATGGAGCACCTAATTGAAAAATAAATGTCGTATAAGATTTTCCAGTGTTGGGAATCAAAATGGAAGGTAAGGTTCAAAGTGAGAGGGGAAGAATATAGGAAAAAAAGGAGTGCGGGGCTTGATCTTCATCTCTGATAGCCGAAATATTAAAGAATGTTGCCAAAGCTGTTATTTTCTGACTTGTGGTCTAGCGCCTCATGATATGTACGTTAAATAACAGGTGGGGGAAAAATGGGGTGAGTGGAATGTAGTATCTAGTGTGTGACTGTGTGTGTGTGTGTGTATGTGTGTGTGTGTGTGTGTGTGTGTGTGTGTGTGT